CATGTATGCTGTGTGCTGTGTTTATTTCAGGGGTCAGGGGCAGAACAGGGGAAAAGGATACACAGATGCAAAACAGCTGAAGTTTGAGGCTGGTTGCTGTGAGACCAAAGACACATCCAGGAAACATCTAGATTAACCAGCAGATGCCTTGTTTGGAAGATTTACTGTATCTAAAATGCTGTTGTAACAGCCGTAATTGTGTAGTATCTCTTTAAGATACTCTAGTATCTTTAATGATGTCACACGCTGCTGCTTCTCTGTAGAGAGCGTGAGAGAAACGTGCTATAGTTGCCACATGGACATGTTAGCTCTCTAACTTTAGTAACGTTAAGGGTAGTTTGGACTCTGCTCATTTTCATGTTTGATAATATAGCAGCCGTTCCACCGGACTTTGTAAGGTTGGTGAAGAAATCATTAAAGGACAACACTGTGGAATTCCCAGTATCGGTGTGGTTGTGAATTTTCTGCCGCCTCTTCTCCTTCCCCAATACAACCCAAACGTTATAACTGCATGATAGAACCAGAAGCAGCACTTCATACTAATGACAAACTTTGGCCTTTTTTGATGAGTTACCTTCTTTTTTGCTTCTATTTTTCATTTAAAATATTTTCAGCAGGTTTCTAAGGTTCTTCTTCTACATATTAAAAAAGTTGTTAAACATCTGAGTGGTGCACTACCGCTACTAGTGGTGAGAAAGTGTATTGCACCTTATTCAAAATCAATGARGTCCCACGGCCCTCTGCGGCCCAAAGTTTAAAACTGTTGTTCTTTTGAGGCCCTTAAGGGGGCGCTCGCGGCCCACAATTGGGCCACGGCCCATAGGTTAAGAATCTCTGATCTAAATAACTATAACTCCATCATTTAATGCAATGTTATCTTAGTGGCCTTTACATTTTAAATAAAGTTACTTTTTTTCTTGTTTACAGAGGTTTATGTATGAAACACTGCGTCTAATCAGTAAATCAAGTCTGTTCTTTCTCTGTGTGTTAAATCTCCTGGCAGGTGGCTAAGGATGTGTCTGTGCGGCTGCACCACGAGCTGGAGAAGGTGGAGGAAAAGCGTACAAAGACAGAAGAAGAGAATGAAAAGCTGCGACAGCAACTCATAGAGGTTGAAGTGACCAAACAGGCTCTGCAGAACGAACTGGACAAAACCAAAGAGGTGACAACAAGCACAATAACAAAAGCCGCCTACGAAAACGGATTTTTGTTTGACATGAAGACTGCTGTAACGCACAACCTGACCTATGATAGCAGTGGGTAGTAATCTGCACGTTTGTTTCATTAAAAAAATTACTTCAGTGCTTTTATACGGTGACCCATCCACACTCGTGTTCAAAACCGCAACAAATTAAAAAGAAAAGCAATAATTTCATTTCTTCCTTCTCTTATAGTCTCAAAAAAGAAGAGGAAGCAAAGACATCCAGAAGACGGACAAGAAACCGGCACAGACTCCTACTGAGGTGAGGGGGAGGCAGAAAAAGGAGCAAAAGTAGATAATGTTTTTTTTTTTTTGGCAAAATATCTCAGGAACCAATGAACAAACTTTAATGAAAAGTATGGAGAGTAAACATTGGATGCAGAGTGAGTCAAAAGTCGCAGGACACCTTTTTATTTCTGAGAGAAAAGAGTAAATAGCATTATGTGCATACCTCAAGATGTAAAGAGTGAGGGGCCTATCTTTTAGGTCCAGAATATGGTAGCCATCCTGAAAGTCACCACATTGGATCAAGGGAAAGCTCTTCCAAATATAGGCTTCATTACTTCCTGGTGTATTCAGACATTTACTCTTTGTATTTCTAAAATAAAAGGTTGTCCTGAGACTTTTGACTCACCTTGTAACATCCCCCAGATTCAAGATGGCCACCACAGCCAAGTAGCCTTAAAAGACAGTAGATCTCCAACAAATATTCTGAGCTCTGACAGATGCTAGGAGCTTTGTTTGGAACGTTGCCTTTAATCATTTGGAGTTAATGCCGTCTGTCTTTTAGCAAAATATCTCATAAACCATTGGATGGATTTTAATCAAACTTTCAGGAAATAATTATTGGATATACATCTGCAGCTGATTTACTTTTGGGGTCAAGCCAATTCAAGATGGCCACCATATCCAGCTGAGGTTCTAAAATACAAAAATGGCCACAAGTTAGTTAGTTTTACAAATATTGAAATAAAATTTGGTGTGGCTGTAACTGAGGATCATTCACAACTTATGATCCAAGTTCTCCTGTTACGTCACACTTTTGCTTTAAACCTCTGCAATAATAGTAGTAGTCAAGCCTGTTTGTCTGTTAGCAAAATATCTCATGAACCCATAGACACATTTTATTGAAAATTTCAGCAAGTAATTATTGGATATGCATCTACAACTGATTAGCGTTTGGAGTCGACCTGATTGAAGATGGTCCTCACAGCTTATCAGTATTAGACTGATTAGCTTTTTGTTTTTATTAAAAATTTCTCTGCGTGGCTTTTCCCTTTAGGCTGGAAACTTCAAATGAAATCTACGTATTTTAGGGTTAAGATTTGCTGGAAAACCAAATATCCTCGTAGCATATTCTGAGCTAAGAGAAGCGGTATCACAAAAGCTTTACTTTAATCTTAAGTCTTTGCATCTTCACAGCTTATCACAAAGACCAGCTTTAAAAAAAAAAAAAGAAAAAAATGCTGGATTAACTTTTTCTGCGYGTCAACTCTGCAGCATCTGTTTCTATTTGTGTTTCAGGAGGAAAATGAAGACTTGAAATGCCAGCTAGCTTTCGTCAAAGAGGAAGCCGTGCTCATGAGGAAGAAGGCAGCCAAGATCGACAAAGAAAAAGACCGCCTGGAACAGGAGCTGCAGAAGTACCGGTCCTTCTACGGAGAACTGGACAGCACCCATCCTAAAGGAGAAGCTGGGGGGCCGCCCACCACCCGCGAGTCAGAACTTAAACTACGACTTCGTCTGGTGGAGGAGGAGGCCAACATCTTGGGCAGGAAGATAGTTGAGTTGGAGGTGAGAGCAGACGCTGTGATTAAAGTTTATTTTTGAGGTGGAGGATTTTGTAACACTCTGTACTTTTAAAAACAGGTGGAGAATCGCGGGCTAAGAGCCGAGCTCGACGACCTGCGYGGCGAAGGAGAGGGAGCTGGAAGCGCCGGGGGTGGTGCCGGAGGCGGGCCGGGCGCGGGGCGTGGCCTGGGAGACGACCTGACGGAGCTCCGGCAGCAGCTGCAGCTGGTGGAGGACGAGGCCGAGCTGCTGAGGAGAAACCTGGCCGACGCCGAGGAGCRGAACAAGAGGGTGACGGCGGAGCTGAACAAGCTGCGCTTCAAGGCCGGGACTCATGAGGGAGGGGCCAGGCACGGCGGAGGACTGGCAGGAGGGGCGGCGAGTGATGGAGCCAAAGCAGAAACTCTGCAGGAGGAGCTTAAAGCTGCCAGACTGCAGATTAATGACCTAAGTGGCAAGGTATGGAAAACAGAGTAATTATAGTAGTCATCTCCCTTTTTATAAGTGTCTCATATTCTTTTAAATTACTAATAGAAGAAAATGATCTAATTATGTGACATTAAAAAAAACGCCTACATTTTATGTAAATGATGTAGCGCTTACATCAAGGTATGAGGCTGTTTTTAGTCAGGATAGTGCATGGAGTACATCTTACTCCTAACACAGCAATGAATTATTTACCACATTCACAAGCATTTAAAATAAGTACAAACAGAAAAACTGAATAAAAATGGAACTTTTTTTTTAGTATAGCACGTTTAAATTCCAACTACACTTTTTGTAAAACTGGTATATCCAGCTATGTATCATGCTATATCCAGCACGGATATAGCATGGATATTGAAAATGTTTGGAAATATTTAGAGCTTATTGAGATTCAATGTAGCTAATTGTAG